ATAACGGATGAAGAATATGGTTATTCTACTTGTATCGAGAGGTGTTGGGGAATGTTGGTGTTGTTGAGGTATGGAGTCGAGGAGGCGTGATGGAGATAGATAGGAGGTGTAGCGAGATTCTTGGGGAAGATTAAAGTATGGGGGGTGATTATGTTGTTGGGAAGAGCACGCGCGCGAGAGCGAGAGACGGATAGAGACGGCGGAGCGAGCGCGCGCGCGAGACGCGCAGAGCGCGCTCGAGAGGGCGAGACCGAACGGCTATGCCACCACAGCAGGGCGCGCGTCGCGCTCCTCCGCCGCCTTGCCGTGCAAGGCGAGCGCGCGCGCGAGAGCGTCGCGTAGCGGCGCGCGGCGCGCGCGCGCGCGAGCGCGGAGCCAGCCCACCCCTCATCGACCGCAGCCTCGCTGCGCGCGCGCGCGCGCCAGTTTGTCCGAACTTATGTGACGGGCTACACCTACGGAGTTAATAACCGCGCTGGGGGGGGGAGGATACGAACCTAACCAGGCTGCGGGCCGGAGGCGAACGGCCCGCCCCAACCACCATATCCCTGGACGGGCCTGCGGCCCGGAAGCCGCGGCGCGCGCGCGGCGCGGACCGCGGCTTGCGGCAGGCCTAGGCGGTGGCATTGGCTGAGGTTGTAATGGACGGGTGCGTGCGGCCAGCAGGGTGCGCAGGGGTCCCCTCGCGGACGTCGTGCGGCACCGCGCGCCGGCTTCAGGAAAGCAGTCGCTATCTGCACGTCGCCCGGCCCGCCCTCCCGCGCGCGTCTGCCGGCCCGACCGCCGGCGCTGATGCCCGCGTCGCGCCGCCCCGGCGCACGGCCTCCGCCCCGGTCTGCTGCCGTCCGGCTCGCAGCTCTGCGCCTGAAGGCCCGACCTCCCGTCTCTCGCGCCGTCCCGGCGCTCCGGCCCTGTTTTCCCCTTCACCTCGTCCCTCCTTCCCATTCCCCCGCCCTTCCCCTTTCCCCCTTCTTCCCCTTCCTCCTTCCCATTCCCCTTTTCTCTCCCCCCCTTACCTCCTCCCCCTTCCCCTCTCCCCCCCCCCTTCCTCCCCCCTCCCCATTCCCTCCCCCCCATTCTTCCAGCATCCTTCCCCCCTTTCATCCATCGTCTCGGTCGAAACCATTTACAATTTTAACTCCAAAAAGGGGAAGCAGCGAGACAAATAACAAATGCGCGCGGGAAACGAAGCTTCATTGGCAGGTGTTCGGTTGAGGGAGAGGGAGAGGGAAAAGGGAGAGGGAGAGGGAGCGGGTGCGCGAGGGGAGGGAGGGGATAGGGAGAGGGAGAGGGAGCGGGAGAGGGGGGAGGGAGGTGCGAAGGAGGGGGGAAGGAGAGGAGAGGAAGAGGGAAAAGGGAGAGCGAGCGGGAGACGGAAGAGAGAAGGAGAAGAGGGGAAAGGGAGACGGAGAGGGAGCGGAAGAGGGAGAGGGAGAGGGAGAGGGAGAAGGAGAAGGAGAGGGCGAGGGAGAGGAGAGGGAGGAGAGGGAGGGGAGAAGGAGAGGGAGAGGGAGCGGGAGAGGGAGAGGAGAAGGAGAAGGGAGGGAGAGGGAGAGGAGAGGGGAGGAGAGGGAGGCGGGAGAGGGAAGAAGGAAAGGGAGAGGGAGAGGGAGAGAGAAACAGGCCATTTTGGTAGAAAGATGGAAGGAGGCAGGAGGAGGGGATGGGGGAGGTAGGGAGGAGGAGGTGGTTGATGGAGGCGAAGGAGGAAGGGAGGCAGGAGGAGTGGTGGGGGGAGTGGAGGAGGGGGATGGAGGAAGGGGGAGGGAGGGAGCGGGAGGAGAGAAAAGAGGAGGGGATGGAGGGGGGATGGGAGGGAGGAAGGAAGGGGGGATGGAGGGAGAAAAAAGGGGAGGGAGGAGGGGCGAAGGATGGGGGAGGGAGAGAGGGAGAAAGATGGAAGGAGGTGAGGTGGGAGAGGGGATGGAAGGAGGGAGGAAGGAAAGGGAAATAGGAGAGAGGAACGGGAAAGGAGGTAAAAAAAACGAGAGAAGAAAGTGGGGAGGGAGGGAGGGAGGAAGGAGAAAAAAATTAGGGAGGCGAAGAGATAGGAGGGTGGGTTAAGGAAAGAGGGGGAGAAAGGGAGAGAGAGATAAGAGAGAGGCGGGTTAGGGTGAGAGAAAGAGAGGAAGGAGGAGGGAGAAAAGGGAAGGAGAAAAGGGAAGGAGAGGAGGCAAAAGGGATGGGAAGAAGCTGAAGGAAGATGAGTTAAGGAGAAAGGAAGAGGAAGAAGGGAATCAGAAAGCGGGCGAAGAAAAGGGAAGATAAGGAGGAAATAAGAAGGGAGGGTTTGGAAAGAATGGGGGATAGTGTAACGAGGGGGAGGGGGATCGGAGGGAAAGGGAAAGGGAGAAGTAGGGAGTGGGAGGGAGAGAAGGGGAAGGAGAGGGAGGGAAAGGGAAAGGGGCGAAGTAGGGGAGCGGGAGGAGAGAAGGGGACGGGAGGGAGGAAAGGAAAAAGGGAGAACGAGGGAAGAGAAGGAAGGGGAGGGATAGAAGGG